AAAATAAGTAGACCGCACAATTTACCAGATTTTTAATGACAACTGACGAGAATTTGAATTTGAATCTTTTTTATTATCTACTCGTTTAAAACCTATCTAATAACACTTTATAATATTACTTAATAAAATGACTATCCATTTCATAAAATAATTTGTTAATATATTTTTTTTTTTTTTTTTGGTACAGAATATTTTTTTATTGCAATTTTTAAGTTGGGTTTTTTCACAGCAATAATGCAATCAATTTTATAACATTTTTAGTGCAACAACATCCGAGCCCTAGTTATTACAATATAACACGAAAAAAGTAAAGTTCAATCACATTACGAGTTGATCAACACGACACGACACACAGCGTAGCTGTGAATGCGTCTTTATCAAAAAACAACTAGCTGACAGTCAACCATATTCGAACCACTCCTAACCAATTATTGGTAACCAGCGTTCTCTTGTACCGCACAACGTTTCGTGTATAATAGGGATAGGTATAGGTAAGGCGCCAGGGCCTATCCATATCTTTAAAATCTATGTGTTTAGGTAGGGTTGATGATTATATTGGTACATATAACGTCCTATATCGCGGTATACCGGTTAACCGGGTTTTCCTCTTCAAATACCGCTGAAAGGTGTACCGTGAACCGTGTAACGATTTACAGATTACTGACTCGTCATTTATTTAGCGCTCGGTGAATTTATCGCTTAGATAAACAGAACGTATAGAACGAGCATATAATATATTATTGGCATAGCCAGTCATTCGAGTCTGAATTGTTTTTTTTTTCAAATTTGAGATGCGCAAGCTTAAACACATTTTGTTCAAGGCACGATTTACTTCTATCGTGGCCCGTCGTGAGATAGACTAATATTTTTTTCGTCCGTTTACTAGGTATATAGGATCCGTCAAAGTCGTTTACAATATCATCACAACCGCGTCCTAATATAGGTACCTATAATATTATTATGACGACATATATTAATGCATTGTACGACTTTACCTCAACACATCAATATATTATTAAAACACAATATTATTGTTTAATATTATATCGTGGTGGTACCAATGTGGTTAATATATGAATCATGATGGAATCTTCCACCCATGTAAATAGGCATGTAATTAATTAATTAATTACTTAATATCTAAGCAATGGTAGGCATCTGTATTATGCATGTTAATTAATATAAACTCAAATTACAGAGCTTACAAAGAACAACGCAACAACGCAGCAACGCTACCTTTCAATTTAAATGTGACAATTTTCCTTTATTTTGAATTTGTCCAGTGGCAGTTCTATATTATAGTGAGTTCTATATATTGGTAATAAAGCTCCTTTATAGGTACCTACTTATCATGAACAACTTCACTGTGAAAACAAAATMAACTTTATTTGGTAGTAGGTAGTCTCCATGTAGACATGTCTACAATTAATACGTTTTGTTCTATACTGTACTGATATATCTATATAATAATAAAAAAAAGTTCAATATGCGGAACGGTGGATGCTTCAGCTCTAAACACCCCTGCCCCCCTAAATTCGCGCTCGATTTGTCTATCCACCTGGCYACCTACCTCTCAATCGTGTTTTCATCGACTGTTTGCCTGTTTAAGATTACCTATATACATATATAACCCTGCATTTAAGCATATATTTATTTGCTGAATATTTCGTGTGAACGATTATCTTTAATATAAAAAATAGATATTGTTCTAATACACTTTTCTATCAAATTAATCAATTAACAGTTACCTACCTAAATAAATATTTTATTCTAACATCACCGCGTATAATATTAAAGTTAAAATCTACACTGTACATTTAATATATATTAAATATTTAAATTTTTACACACAGGTTTTGTTGTTTTCTTATGTGAAAAATTCATATAGGATGGGTACCACTCCTGTCAATATTATTCATATTCTAAAAATATAGGTAGGTACCTGCCTACTGAAAGTTGATTTATAAAACGTATGTCAGAGATATCATACACGAGAACGGAGATAAATCCTTGCAATGCAAATTTATTGGATCTTATACTACTGTTTTAAAATTATTACACAAATTAGAGTGATGAAAAAAAAGGTTTGACAACAATTGATTTTTTAATGATTACCTATTAATTATTTATTAGGATAATACCTAGTAGGGTAATTAATAATTATGTTTCATATAGATATAAGTAATATTTAAATTAGATAGATTAAATAGAAATATCTAAAAAAAATATATATTGCATCCTTGCCTGATATCGGTAGGAAATGATAACATATACCAGGAAATTATATCATTTCCTTCCGTTATTAGGAATTGTCAACATCTCCTAGGAACTATTATCATTTCCTAAATGTCAACATTTCCGGTACCATATACAAAAATAGAATTTTTTGTATAACCCGCACCTTTTATCATTCCTAGTTCAATCTGAATATACAGTAGCGTAGCCTGAATTATGAATTGGAGGAGGGGGGTGGTTAAGTATAAATGAAATTAAGTTTTTTACAGTTTTCGGATATAAACAATATATATGAATCCTGGTTTACGCCAAGCCTATATATATATGTATGTATATACAATTTCATATATCTAAAATGCCGTCATATAGGTACTCTATTGTTCGATCGTGTATAGGTACAAACATTTTTCATATTGTTGTATTTTGTATGCACAATATTTTACATGATTGGAAATGTTTGAAATCACTATATTATGAGGGTGATAATTTATTATTGAAATAATCGAAAATACAATAGTTATTTCACTAACAGAGAACCGGAGGCTTCATTCCTTAAAGCTGGTTCATTTCATGCTGTATAATTTTATTACCAACACTATTCGTCCAAGAAAATATGGATTAAATACTAATATAATTTTAGATTATTTTTAATCCAATATAATGTTATACTATCTGTATCATTAGCGTTAAACTACAATCATTCTTTCATTAGTATACGGCAGTATTATACTTGAGATATTGAGCAAGTTTACGGTCAACCTCATTGGTTGGTTTTAGTTTACATTATTTATACCGAGGGTGGTACTTGTGCGGTGTACAAAGTTATACCCTAAAGTATGTGTACTGACAGCAAACTATATACCAAGTGTTAATTATATGRATAGAAATGGTGGAATGTAGTGTGTACTCACGAATCGCAATGTTTCAAAGGACACCGATTACAAATTGAACTGTTTTTGGTGAGGGTGTAACAGTCGTGGATACAGAAATACTTTAGGAGGATCTGAGATGCGTAATATCAATTATCAATAAATTTGAACACTTGTTTTTTTTTATTACAGTTGTTATGTTTAATATCATGTTTAGTAAAGTAGGTACTAATAAGTAATTAGTTAAAAGCAATGTAACCCTTCAACGGATAATGGACATCTTCATCGGAAAGTCGCGGACAAATCGAGAACCGATGGGTATCGACATTATATGTTTTAGACTTTTAGTGCAACATACACTAATTAGTGCACAAATAGAAGGTGAAGTACTGGAGCATTAACTACCAACATAGTTAAAAAGCTTAAAATCTAGTTAAAAAGTTATTTTTGTACCTATCAAATTTTTGACCTAACTATTGATGGTTAATTAATTTCCCCTTTACCTTTTCACCGTACCAGGCATACTATTACATCTAATACATTTGGACCATTCACTGATCTAGAAATATTATTACATTCCTGTATTTTATAAATTAACCGTAAAGCCTATAATTTAAGGAAACCGTGACTCACATTATTTCTAGACTTAAATAAATAGGTTGTAAATTATAAATCTCAAAGTTAAAATTTAATAAAATAGTGAAAAATTAAAATCATTTTATTTCACGTAACTTAAACAGATTGCAAAGCATAAATAATAGAGAAACAGTGAAAAATTAATGTTAATTAAAAATTTACAATTTCAATTTATAATAATGTTATCCTTATAAACTTGATAACCCCAATGTCAGTACCTAACTTAGTAAATCCTTAATCTTTAGCTGATCAAAAGAATGACCCTTGTGACTTTGTTATTCTTCTTTAAAAAAAAAAAATATTAAACAATAGTATGAGATAAACATGATTTGCATTTACAGTCTTATTAAACAAAATACTAACTCTCAAAATATAAGATCCCTGCTTATTTTATATTTCCCATACCTCTCTTAGATATGTCATGTTATTCTCCCCTTTAAACACTTTATTATGTAATGAATGGTAATGAATGGTAATACTCTGAAGTCTTAATAATGAGATTGAATTTTTTCTTTAAATATAATATATTGTAATAGTTATTATTTTTATAAAATGTTATATTGATAAATCATTTTTCATTGTAAATTCTATTTAATTTAGTTATTAAGTGGTTTATTTATTTTTTGTAATTTCTATTTTCTAATTATTGCACTTGTCTAAATTTATATGTGGAATATTGTCCATGTCTAAAAATAAATAAATCAAAATCCAATATACATTAAGAGAACGTCATACCTGAATGTGTTGTCTCTGTATTACACACATGATACACAAATTTTCATTCACCTGATTCAATATTGTGGTGTTGGTTTTAATATTAAAGTGAATTGGCCAATTATAAAATTTGAAGGTATTATTATCATTATTTTTTTTTCTAAGGAATTATTATTATGTGGACCCCACACAGGCTATAATTATTTTTAAGTAAGTTAAGATCTTTTTTAAACTGTACATTTTAAAATGATCATAACTTACTTAAAAATAGTATAATCAATAAAAGTTTATGTGGGGGCCCTAGATAATAATTTTACCTTTATTGTTCTTAATAATAGATTCTTAGTTTTTTAGGTACCAGTCAGATGATTATCACATCACTTAATGATCCAAAGTGGTATTAAAACTATAATTTATTATTAGAAATAATATGAATTATTATTAAAAAAAATATAACAAAACTAATACATAACTTAATTTAAAATAGTTTAATATAACTATCCAAATACTAATTCAAAAAATTGTGAACAATTAATTTATATTTTTTTGCTGATTCTGTCAATAAATATATTATACATATATATATATTATATAAATATATTACATAGCATAATTCCCACTGCACACAAAAATTTACAAGACCACAGTTTATTCAAATTATTTAATGCTTAGAAAATGTTTGGTGGCGTTAAAAAAATAATAATTTTGTGTATTTTATACACTATGGTAATGATCATGTCATCATGATTCATTGTTCCATATACTATGTTTTTGTTGAGCGTCACGAATCTTTTTCTCTAAAACAATAATAAACACATCAAAAGATACTGACAACAATAAATACTCAATTAAAATTACCTTTAGCATTTGCCAACAATGTACGTTCAGCATTTATAAGATCTGGTGGTACATTCATCTTTAGTCCTAAAGCACTGCTCACTAGTCGTCTAGCCATTGCAGTACAAGTTTTAGGCCTAGTTGCTGGGAGAGGAACAACTGAAGCTGCTCTGAGCTTTGATTCTTTGGTAGCATTCTTAAGTGGCCTTGTTTTCACAAGAACTAATGGTGTGTTCAATGCTTGATCAGCTATTTAAAATATTATAATTTATAAAATTCAAAAATATTAACTTTCAGATAAATTATTTTATGTTCACCTAAATTTGGACTTTCAAATACTGCTAATGCATGAGTATCATCCACCCAAATAATTTCAAAATGATTTTTGCGAAATGCAGCAAATTGATTCATTAGATCAATTGTTTTCAGATCAGAAGAAAAACCATACACCTCAATAACACACTCGCCATCACCAGAACGTTCTTCAATTGTTTGATAGCTTCGGTAATCTTCTTTTGCACATTGTACTTGAACCTTTCCTATTGTAGAGACTAACTAAAATAAAAATAAATATATAAATATTTAAGTACAAGTTTAGTAACATTATTAATAAAACCAGATTTTTAAACTGACTGAAATAATAAACACGTGTAGAAATTAATTCATAGGTTTAACACAATTTAAAATTTAAATAAATGTATTTTTAAAAATTMTATTATAAGATAAGGTTATGAAGAACCTACAAAGAATAAATGTTTAATTGAACTGTTGTTATTTTTGAAACATTTATCAATGTACTGGTCTTTTCAAACCTTAATGTTACGAGAATGGTGATCAGAATAATAATTATATTGAGTAAAGAAACTTAACTAATTATTAGATAGATTATAACAACAAAATTATCTTATGAGGAAATAAATTAGGTAACAGGAGAATAGATTATTTTATTTTTAACTATTGTTAAATTAGGTATGATTTTTTTTTTTAACATAAAATTATGGAATCAAAATTATTTTTTAGTAGAATTGCTGGCATTATACATTTATTACTTCAAATAATAAAATAACTTACTTCTTTCATGAGCAATGGATGTATATAATCATCTTCTTTATCATACATATCTTCCCAGCTACATTCATCAACATCTAAAATCTTTTTCTTTTTCTTTTTTTTTTTTTCCTTTTTCTTTTCATTAGTTTCAAGAATTTCTGGAGACTTATTAATTAACAACGGACTTTGCTGGACAATCAACTCTTCATTTAAATTTTTAGAATAATTTTCATCTATATCCGTTAATGGTCCACTTGTGAAACTATCATCCAAACAATAATGAGGACAGTTTGAATTGTGTTCTTCTTTTAATGCTATTTCAGGCTCATTAGTAAAAACGACTTTATTTTCTTCTTGCAATTCATCTGTTTGGTTATTAGACATATTCGAGCTGTTATCATCAATTAAAATTGGATTTATTGATTTTATAGTTTTTTGAGGTAATAGTATATCGTCAGTAGCAATTGTATCATTAACATCTGATATTTGATGGTCAGGTAAATTAACTGGTGTAGAATCTTGAATATTTATACAACTTACATTTTCACTTCTAGTTAAAACACTAACACTGTTGTCAATTTTACTTCCCACAATATCAGACTCCAATTCATTATACTCCAAGTTAGGATCTTTAATTTTAATTATTTCATTTGCTGCTGATGAATTTGAATTAAATTTATTTTTATCTATTGAATCTGGAAGAATACTAGAAGCTACAGAATCTGAGAACTGAGATGAAACATCATAATATGAAGTTTTAGTTTCATTATTAACATCATCCATCAACATTCCATTTGATAAGTCTACAAATTTATATGAATCTAAAGCTGATAAAATAATATTACTATGTTGAACATGGTTAAAAATTGATATTGAATCTTTCATATCTTTTGAATAAAATTTATTGCTTGAATCGTCTTGAATTCTAGAACTAGCACCAAGTTTATTTGATGGAGTTGAATCTGAACAACTATTTGTACTACTAGTGTTGGAAACAGTATTATTGGCTAATCCTCTAAGTGCTTTGGGTATATAAATAGGAATATCTGGCCTTTTAGATTTTTTGCGCTGATGGGATCTAAAAAAATTTAGACAATATTTTAAAATATTGATTGGAAGTTAATACTAAAATAATTAATGAACATGAAATTACCTTGTACTTGGATTTAATGTTTTAGGCTTAAGTGACTGAAGTAATCTTTCTTGAGCCTTCCTTTCGTTAGGAGTTCTATATGCTCGATATAAACTAGAATTATTTTCATAATGCATTTCAGCATCATCCTGTTCTGTTTCACAAATCCTATTAAACAAATTTATAATCACATTTTAAAATATTTATTTGGTAGTACATACACTATTAACTATTAATTCAGGTTTATAAATACCTAATAATAAATATATATATATCACCGATATTAAAATAAAATAAAATATCTATAAAAGTAATGCTGTGTATATCCATTTATATATTAATACTGATACATTAATTAGGTATATTACATTCAAACTAATAACATCCTAAATTTATTTTATTTAGCTTGAATTAAGTGCTAATTACATAATTTACAATAAAATTATAAGATCAATATAGATATTATAGAAATACCAAGATCATTATCATATTTAATAAAAATAAAACCATATATTTTAGACTTTTTAGAGGAGATTTACCAATTATTCAATTCAAATGACAAACTATAATCATAGTATTAATTAATTAAGAAATTATTTAAACTAAATATGTACCACTAAACTGTTTAATAACTATAATAATTAGAGGTGATTTTTAATCTATTTTTTGAATACAATTCTTTACTCTTCCGATGTTAAATTTAAATACTACAATTAGTAAACAATTAGATTAATATAACCAGAGCTCATAAGTTCATGCATAAACATTTGTATGTTTTTCTAGCAACACAGAAAAATACGCTAACTGAGATACAAATCCATTTTAATAATAATAAAAATATGAAGTTTAATAGTGCATGTTTATGCCCCGGTTTATGCATATTTTAAGTGTTAAAGTATATTTAACATATAGTTGATTTTTTAGAGTTATTAATGCATATAATCTCATAAAATAAAATGTTTACAAAATTAATATTTGAATTCTTTTTAATTTTCATTTACTTTCTCATTTAAAAATTATAGTATTGGTATAAATTTATTTTTATTCTTGTACGACTATATTGGTTTTACATGTTTTACCCAGTAAACAATATTATCATTACCACTACCATCCTCCACTATGCAACGTGCATATGAAAATTTATCAATTCGTATTTGTAAATAAATCAAACATTTATCAAGAAAGGTGAAGATGACAAAATTTTGAATTCTACAAGGTATATGAATTAAATACATTGAGTGATATATAATTTATAAAAATCAATTAATAAATATATTTTCTTATTTCAATATTTGTTTATGATTTTTTTTTTTTTTTGTATTATGCATATTTTAAGTGCATGATTTAAAAATATTAGTACATATAAATGCATATTTCAATACCATTTTGCCAATTTTTTGTGCATGAATGCTTGCTAAATTATTCATTTTTCAGTGCATGAAATTACGAGCCCTGAATATAGCATTAGCAAAAACAGATTTCTTAAAACAAAAAAATAAAAAATAACAATATTTATGTATTACAAATTTGGATGGAAATCAAGTATTTTTTTGTAACTTATTATACATTTTTAAAATAACATTTAAGATGAAGCTACTTTTAAATTTCTTGTATCCGTCTTACACACATACGGCATAGGTCATTTTCATTCACTGGTTTCAATAGAGCATTGTAAGTTTTGATGTAAAAGTAGAGTATTGATACCAATAATACCTATGATCAAACTTTTAAGTAAGAACATAATCTATTCTTAAGTAGGTATCAGTTTTTATTTTATTTTTAATTTTCAAACAAGATATGAGCATTTTTAATGTGTGATATTTCTCATACCCATATTTTTGTTTGAAAATTAAAATATAGAAAAAATCACCAATGCTTAAGCATAAATAATATTTTGATAATAGATCAATTTACTCTTACATCAAAACTTATAACACACTATTTAAATCAGAAAACAAATATTTGGTATGTCGGATGTGTGTAAGACGGAAACAAAAATGCACGGATAGCAATATTTTAATAGTATTTAGTGGTTTCACAATAACCTGAAAGATTATAATCTACTGAAATAACTTTAATAACGAATGTCATAGTTGGTACATCACTCAATATACTTTGCACTTAATTGAATCTTTATTTAGGGTATAATATTTAAGCTTGTTTTAGCACAAGAAAATTGACCCATGAACCATAAATTTCACCAGTAATTTCTTTGAATAACTTCAAAATTGTAGCTTGAAACTAAAGTTGAATATTATAAAACATTAGGTAAATTTCAGGGGGGATATACATAGTTAAACTATAATGAAAATGAATTAAAATAAGAATAACATAAAAGAGTCTAAACTAATTTATCATTAAGAAATTGATCTGACAATAGTATTAATATTATTATTTAGAATTTGAATCAAATAAACTTTTTATGTTTAATTAACAAACAAGTATACCTCAAATATCTCTACATTAAATGAACCTCAACATATTTTATACAGAAATAAAATGTTATATTATATTAATACATGACTACACAAAAAGTTCTCACATAGTGTATCAYATAATTTAAACAGCATCAGACCCAGCTAGAGTCCTAAGTTTAAAATTTATTTGAAAAATTAGTTCTAATAATGTTTTCAATTTCAATTTTTAACTTACATTGGTTTAAGTGAAGAATGATAAACGACTAAGCGTCTTCCGTAGCTACTACCAACAGATATGGTGTTCAATTTGTTAAAGAATTTTTGCACCAGCATATGCACTAAAAACCGATTACGTGCGCTTAATGGAGGAAAAATAAGTACTACATTTCTGAAACACAAAGAAAAAAACAAACAATTAAAAAATGTTATTCCTGGAGATAACAAATAAAGTATCCAAAGGTAAAAGATTTATGCAGTTACAAACGTTTTCTTTTCTAAAACGAAAGTTTTAATATAATGGTTGATATCGGCCAAGGCTATTTCCAAAAACGAACATTCGCCAACTCGCAGATTCAATATGTCCAACGACTCCATAAGCACATCGATGGCGGAACACGTAAACGTATATTGAACATTTGAGCGAAAATTGACTTAGTTGATAAAATGAGAAATATTGAGGTTGAACGGTCTAAATCTAAAAATGTAATCAACGTTTCACAATATTGSMCTCTATGTGAGAATAAGAGAGTAGGTACTTCGGCGATAAAAGAGTAAAGACACTATAGAAAGTCGTAGTGTCGTACAAAAAATAGAATTATTATCATTGTTTTTTTTCTTTATTCCCATTACCCAAACAAAAGCCTAAACTTTAAGAGCCTTGATAAGGCAGTTATAAAACATATGATTGGATGGTGACCTTACATGCCACCTCTCCGACAGATACTCGATAGGCAACAAATAACAGGCCAACACTAAAAGCTTAAAATAATAATTATAATATGTAATAATATAATAATTAATAAATAATAATAGCAATTAGCATAAATACACAGTGTGTCTATGACTATCAGAGAATTGAATATTTATACATTTTATGAGGTGTTAATGAGTGTCATCACTGGTATAAAATTATAAACCACAAACAGTATAAAGTTTATACTTTATATCTTTGTTGAGTATAATGTATTACGTCAATGATAATAGAATAATAATAATTTTTTATATAGTAGTTAAAAATATACTATACATAGGTTATTGTAAATAGTATTCCTGTAGTCTGTATCCCACTAAATTGTTTGATAGTTGAAAGTGTTTTTTGGTATTTTTTTTTTTTAAGAAAATTTACAATCTATTATTAATTATGTACAATATAGGTAAAGGCGATAATTTTACATATTATATACCATATATTAGACACATATCAAACAGGACACAACTAGCACAGAATTCTTTCAGCGATGGAACTCAACAGATATTGTTAACGCCAAGGCATTCTTAGTCTTGATGCAGAAAAACTGCGTATGGAATGATGTATAATGCATAAAAGTGATCTGTAATGACTGGGTTCAAAGGCAGTTGATCTGATTCATTCTTGACACATTATGATGGTGGATGAAGATATGATTTTACTCCTCTCGCCCCCTTAACAGTTTTATATAAGAACTATTACATTGAATATTAAATCGTAATCTAAAACTTGTAATAGCAAATATTATATGCTGAAACTTTTTAACTGTTATAAATAAAATAAAAAACATAAAAACATTGAATATAGTTGGTAATTAATTGTTTTAAACTTTTTTATGTGCATGTGTGTATCCGTAGAAGTGTAGACTGATTTTACTTCTTTATTCGATTTTTTTAAACTTTAAGGATGATTCCTGATAGAAAATTGAATCTATAAAACCTAACCTTTTTTGTAGTTGGTATTTTTAAGAAGTAAAAATGAAAAATAGTAAAAACTAACTAGAAAATCATAAAATAATTTAGGAAAAACTGTAATTTTTGAGCGAAACTAGTTTTCAACAAGCTCAATTTGGTATTTTTGGTGAGACTCATATAAACTAATAAAGTAATAACTAATAACCATAGATAACATAATATCAAAAATGGTAGCATATTCAAAATATTTATACAATCAAAATAYTCATAAACCTAAAAACTAATAAAGTTTATTAATACTACAGTCTACTAATATAATAAACTATGCAATAATTATTAATAATATTGAATAAAACAAATATAAATTAAATATTAAATTAATTCATATAAATTATATTAAAAAATAATTCATAAAATAGCTATTCTGACTAAAATATATTGAATACATAGGGGGATATATTTAAGGTATATTTTAATCCATAGGTAAACCATATAGGTACTTATTATCAGTTTATRACAAACTGATCGTCAAATCTATTTGATAGAGGGGTAAATTATTTTTTGTTGCAGTGTAGCTAACCCAATCGAATCCATTGATTCTTTTATAGCTGATTAAACATACAAATTTACAATAAACAAAAAACATAATTATAAATGAAAAAAAAAACAAAATTACTAAAATGGTATATATATTTATTTTAGTAATTGGACCAAAGACAATATTGACATTTTTGTTATCTTTAAAAACAAAATAACTTTAAGAATAAGTACTTCAAATCATARTTTTATTGTTTGAAATAATTTAACTGAATACAATATTAAAAATATCTAGAAAATGAATCAAATATTTTTATCAAAAACAAATTAATTGAGTTGGTATGTAACAGAATAYTAAKATTAGAATTTTAACCATGTTTATGCAAAAATTATAAATAAARTATCATAAAATATGTACAAATTACTTGTTTCTTTTTAATTAAAAATTATGACATAATTACAATTATGTCCAAAATAAAATACTGAAAGCCATCGCAATACAACAAAATGATACGTAWGGACTTTTTCTTTCTCCAATTCTGGCTAACTTCCAAAACGTTCCCAATGGTCTAAAAAATAAAAATATATGGATCAATATTATCATAAATAAATGTGTACATTTAAGTATGAGTATTTATCAGTGAAATATAAATYTTAAATTTTGTTTAGTTAAAATGTTCAATGGCATTCTGTAAAATGTTAATTTATAACTATACATTTGTAGTTTAGAAACTTGCTTCTCAATGTTCTAAAAGTCTATGAGAAATTATTAYGCACTTAATTTGTAAATTATTTAAGATCACAAAATAAGAGATTTTTTTTGGATTAAAACTTATTTGCTGAAATATGAAGTACTAATGTGGCTCCTCATGAATTCCAAAATTCATAGTAATTCCTGCAAGCGACTAATAATAATTTATCATAGCACAACAAAGGTGAAATCAATTGAACAATAAACGCTTAATTTATTTTATTTAATATTTAATAATATTTATTTATCTTACCCAACTTTATTCCTATCGATAATACTTGGTAATAACTGCCGTAAATAAGTGCATGTACAAATAGACAACAATAAAATTGTCAAAAGACTTTGTAAATTGAACAGAGCCAACTGAAATCAAAACAACAAATAACAATTATAACAAATTAAAATAATTACCTAAACAGAATAAAAAAATACATTTTAGAACATTTTGTAAAGATATTTTACCATGATAACAGCTTTGAATTATTTAACTTGTATCAAAATTTACTCTCATAAAAYACAAATTTAATTCAAAAATTATAAAACTAAAAGTAGTCATTCATCAACAACAAATAACCAAACAATATTGTTATTTAAAATTTTTGAGTTGAATCACAGAACTGACAACTGAGACCAATTTAATATTTATGTAGGTAWACAGTAAAGTTGTATACTTGACACATGTATGGATTATTGATACGCTACATTGATAAGAAAATTACTCATAATCACAATTTTAGATAGCACTATCATAAAATAATCATTTATGAATAATTAATTTATTGTGGTTGTGTATAGTTGTACCACAGAATAGATGACATTATTGAAATTTCATTCTAATCTGTATTTGTAATAATACACTATATAGATATTGTTTATTAGTTATTACACTAATATCAGTAATATCCCATGCAAGGTGGATTTATAAATCCACCTCGATCCCGTGCACAATCAGGCCCCCCACATCAGAGGTTTGGCCCTGG